ATCAAACTTATAAAAAGTTATGAAAATTGCATGGTCTGTGGCGACTACTGTATGTGTAGCAGTAGTTCGTGCCCGCATTTAAGGTAGCCACACTATGCGGCGAGCAAACAATTCCTTCGTTTACGGTCACAACGACTCTCACACCAAGTTAGCACGTTAATTTCCGAAGAAATCAACAGATTCATATTTCAAGATTGGAATGTTTACCAGAAAGCATGCAAGGAAGGCTGGAGAGTCCACTAAGAAATAGGATCACTCGGCTGCGTAATACAACAAGTAAAGGTGGGTGAAACATGTGTCTGGGCTATTTGGCTGATACCTTTGTTTTCAATATGGTAAATAATGCAAAATCTGTATAACTAGAGCTAACATGTAAAATTAGTAATAACAAAAAGGGAACACTTGGAACGCAAGAGTCGTAGAAGGCAGTCTTTTAATAAACGAAAGAGTATGGCGTAAAATACAATCAAAAAGTCCACTCGGGACTGAAATACTGAAACAGTATTCTCATATTTCCGACGCAGCTCTTGTTCCTATATTCGAAATATGTTTTTTTTGAAATTGCCTTAATATTTTCTTATCGAGACATGACTGTCTCAAACATTCGTATCTTTATTCAAAAAGTGTATAATGTGTTTAAGTTTATGCACGGCGATAGGTTAGATAGCGGAATTAAATCAGTAATCCCTATTATGTAATAGCATTACCTATAAAGCGAAACAACAATAAGAATCAGGTGAATTCAAGCAACATTTTGCATTTCTGATGCAAATACAAACTCCAATCAAAGCCCAGCATCGCATTACACTATACATCGAAAACAACTGCAGAAACATCGATGGAAACCTCACATGTGTGGAAGTTAGTTAAAAAAACAGATTTAAATTCATCCACAGAAGAGTTGGTCCGCGCTCGTCACAGATTAAATTTCGGATTCCCTTCATTTTGCCGAATCTTGCTTAACAACGACCAATCTGAAAGGTGTTTCCAGAAAAAAAGGAGACTCACCAGAATGGTTATTCCTGGCTTGTCTTCCGGCCATAATCAGGAAATACATTGGATGCGATATCTAATGAAATGTTAACGATTCTCAGTAATATTTTTCCCATAAGAAACGATT